CACACAGCCACAAATCCATGTGTCCCTAGATACATGTGAATGAGAGCAAAGGGTGTGCCTGCTCACTGAGCCTTCACCCTGGGAGCAGCTCTGCTCTTAACTCACTGTGTCTCCCAGCTGTTCACGAGTCTAGACACACATACCTAAAATGGTCCTGTTGGAGGCTTTCCAGATTGGTCCACCTGCTGTTAGGACTACTTCACGTAGTTAGGAACCATCTGGCAGTCCTTAGGAACATCACAAGTTACTTCATGCTGTCATCCCATGATCAGATCTACTCAATATTTAGAGCTCTGCCACTGGCTTGTATTAGGATATGCAGATTTCAAACCTCCAATGTGCAGGATGGGAAAAATGTCTCCTATATGTACCTGGAAAACAATATCACATTGTAGAACAAATAACACCTTAACCTAAAGGAGGTTGCTGTAAGCCTCCACTATAATTAGGCAAAGGAAAGAACCTATAGGGTTTCTGCCCATGTCTGAAAGCTGAATCCTGGTTTCCTTATTCCTGCCTACTTCTTAGCAGCATGACCCTGGCCATCAAGAGTTAACTCCGTTTGACTCTGAAGCATGGACTACCACCCAGAACAAGGAGCTGGGCTATGGAGGATCCTGCAAGGACCAGTATTGATTGGCTTACTTGATTAGTTGGTTAACAGAATATCACTGCTTTCTAATATAATTAAAAGAAGATAAATACTGGGGCTTCATCCTGTAAGCAAGGGCCATTAGTGATCATGGTGCACAACCTGATTAAAAATTCAATCAACTGGGAGGGTAATTTATGAACTTGCCAGCCTCTAGTGCCATTACAGGGTTTGTGGGGTCTTGAGATATGATGCGGCTGGCATGGAATTCCCCAACCTGTTGTGGTTGTCCTGGTCTCTTGGGAAGGGAATTTATTACACAGGGAAATATGCAGGATGGTCTCTCTTTGCAGGTAGAGTTACTCCATGCTTGCCACAAAGCTCCTTTGTAAAGTATCAGAGACGGATACCCAAAGCACCAACCAGGGGACCATCATGACTGTTTAACCCTTTGACTCACTTCCCTCAATCCTAAAAACAATACTGGCCCCTAGCTTACTCTCTGTTATCCTTTCTTTTATCCTATCTTTTATCATCAGGTTCATCATGAGTTTGAAACTTTCTTTGGATTACTGATATGATCATTAAACATTTATTAAATACTTATGAAGAGTTACGGTGAGCAAAGCAAGTGTGACTAGTGGAGGGGCACAGGACTTATTTACTTGGGGGCTGAGGGCTACACCCCCTAGGCTGCTAAGAGGAGTAGCTAAAAGCTCATGCTTTTGCCTCATATGCACAGTGCAGGTGCCCATGGCATAATCTACTCCCATTGGACATGTTAGACAGTGGGCACCTCCAGGAGGAGGCAGGTTGCCAGACTTCGTGGAGGACAGGGGTCAGCCTTCTTCACTTGGATGTTGTCTGTTACTTTCTCGATCAACTGAGGCATGTTATTGGCACATTAACTGCTGGCCTAGCTGGTAAATGTGTGATATGGGTAGAGAAGTGTCATTCAGCATTCCTGAGTTGCTCTTATTGATGTCTAAGCTGTCCCTGCTTACAGCAAGGGGCAGTAGCCCCGCATTGAGGGCTGGTGGGGGTCTTGGTGACATGCAGTTGGTAGAGGATTTGGCATATCTCCAAGGAAGGTGCTATATAAATACAGGGTATTATTATTCTATTAGCTTATGTTCTTAATTTTTGGAATGTGTCCAGATGTGCTGACTGGTGAACAGACATTAGAGATGGGGAAGGAGTGTAAAGACTCCCCTGCTAATGCCTAGAGCAGAATGGAATACCACGTTAGCTCTGCCTCAGAACTGGGTAGTGTTCTGATGACAGGTTAGATATGTCTGGAAAAGCCAGTAAGATCTCAAGGTGCAGATACAGTCCTGATGTAGAAATAACAAAAAGCTGACCCAGTGATGTGACTCTGACACTTTTTTCTGCCCCCCCCAAAGGACATTTTTCTGTCAACTGTTGTCCTTCCAAAAAAACATGTCCCCTTAATGGTTTTATTTTATTTATTTATTTATTTTTTCTGAGAGATTTCCTTTATCTTGGTGTCCTTTTCCCTGAGATGCTGCCAGGTTTGGATGAACAGGGACACACTGCTGGGATGTCTGATATTTCTATCACTAGAAAGAAGAGAAAGGAATGAGGCAAATAGGGGAACCTGCAGAGGGTAGCGGGAGCTGCCCTTAGCACATTATGGGATGTCACTGCTGAAGCCCACACCTTTAATGGGAATGACAAAGATACGTGCTTGAGGGGTTGACAGGAATAATCGAGAATACCAGCATGCTCAGAAATCCATTCTGTTCACCCTTAGGTTTTCTAAGAGCTGAACTCATCTTCCTAAATGCTTATTTGCAGAGAAAATACCATGTGTAAAGAGATATGTATATACAGAGAAATGAGGACATATCTCTACCTACAGTTTTGTTATTTACCTTGCCATAAAATAAATGCTTATTAATTTCCATACTATGTACAGAGGGAGCTGCCACATGTGAATTTCTTTCATCAGTAATTGCTGTGCCTGTGACTCCTTCAGTTATATGTACCAGGGAGATGGTTTCCAAATAAGAACTGGGAGAGAAGGGTAGATTCACAGATGATAGCTAAAAACATCTAGAAATTACAGAACAATTGAGGTCAGCAAGAACCAAGTTATTCAATGTATCCCCTGGGGGCTAGAGGCAGACTTTTCCTCCATGGTTCCAAAATTACTTGGCTGTTTCATTAAGGTGAAAGGCAGTGCAGCCTCACAAGTGCAGAGAGTGGAGGTTGTCACTTAAAATTTAGATGGACTTGTCAACGAAACACTTAGAAAAAATGGCATTTTGGGGTGCCTGGGTGGCTCAGTCGTTAAGCGTCTGCCTTGGGCTCAGGTCATGATCCCAGGGTCCTGGGATGGAGCCCCGCATTGGGCTCTCTGCTCCGCGGGAAGCCTGCTTCTCCCTCTCCCACTCTCCCTGCTTGTGTTCCCTCTCTCCCTGTGTCTCTGTCAAATAAATAAATAAAATCTTAAAAAAAAAAAAAAAGAATGGCATTTTGATGGTCTGTTCCTGCTCATCAAAGAAGTTGCTCAAATTTGTAGGGTAGAGGAATGAAAGTAAGGAGGGTTTTAACTGCAGCATTTGGCTCTGAACATGTTTATACCTATATAAAAATTCAGGAAATCAGTACTGTTAAGAAAATCTGATGTCCAGGCAGAAGCATTTAAGATGTGGGGGAGCTGTCCTCAAGTTCTGGTGCTGAAACATCGAACTACTGATTTTATCATTTGAAGTGCTTCCATGATATGAATTAACACTTTTTTTTTCCTGGCTCTGGGTAGAGTTGCAGATCAACCATCCATGACCAAAATGTAAAGCTAAAATAGTACTTGTCTCATAGCTAGAGGATGGAATTTTATGGAAGATTATGGAAGACTATTCTCTGAAACTTCCAATGTGATAAAAATGAGTAGCGCCCATTTGTATCAAGTTCTGCTTTCTTCATAGGCACACAAAAACTGAGCTCCCCAGTCCCTCTGCAGTTATGTGAAGGCAGGTGACAAATTCTGGCCAGTGAGGATGTGAGTAGAAGTGATATGTATGAGTGCTGTGCCAAAGCATTTAAGATGTATAACCATCTAGCTCTCTCTTTCCTCTGCAGCAACAATGACATAGACCACGCCTGATATAGCAGAGGCAGGATGGAATCAGCATCTATCCTTGAGTTCCCACTTGGGAATCATCTTCCCTAGAGAACTGCCGAACTGATAGTTAACTTTGAATGAATGAGAAATAAAATGTTATGTGTTAGGTCTCTGAAATTTTGAAGCTTATCCTGTTCTACCCTGTCCTATCTTAATTGATACACTTGGTTACCCATTTTGGTGTCAATAAGACCTTTATGCCAAAGACATCAAATAAATATATAGGGAAGAAAAAAATTTTTTCACTTGGGGAAAAAAAGAAACATATCTCACAATGTCCCCCATGATGATGACCTGGATGTTGGTTTCTTTGGGAAAGCTATGAAAGAAATGTTTTCAGAGGCTTATGTTTCTATTTGGCATAGAATTATATTCCTGAATTTCCTTTTAAAATGGTGAAGGAATCTATGTTGAATTTATCATGATCACAGTTCTACAATGTAGGAAGAAGCCAAATTAAGTTCAACATCCCTGCCATGAAATGATGGATGTAACCATCAAGCAGACATCAAAGAGGATGAGAACTGACAGAGACCACAGGATTTTGTGAAGAGGCAGTCACAGGCTACCTTTTTAAGAGAGTAGTTTCATTGGAGAAACCATATTGCAAAGGTTTGAGGAAAGACTTAGATGTAAAAAAATGAAAGTAGGAGATCTAAACCAGAAACTCCAAGTATCGGTGTGAAGGAAGGAAACAGGGCTGTAGTTAAAAAGAGAAAAAAAACTGGAGTTTGACTGAAGGTGGGGGTGCGGGAACAGATGACCGGAGGAAATAAAAGCTAAAAAATGTGGACAGAAAATCCTTTGTATATTTGAAGAGGGTAGGAGTCAGAGCACAGGTGGGAGATATTTTTATGAAGAGAGGGAACATATGAGGGCATGGAAAGGCTTTCCTTCTGTATTTCTTATTTCTTATCTGAGTCCATGGCCTCATCATACAACTAGTTTCTACTGACTGAGAACTCCAGGAATCATCTTGAACTCCTTTATCTCCTTTACACGTCCCTCCATACTGTTATCACAAAGGCTATTTAACCTCCTGAGTATCCCTTAAACCTATACCTTTGTGAAGCTTTAAATTTGGTTGGACGTATCCTAATCACAGTTTTACCCCTTACCAGCTGGGTGACCTCAGGTAAATTGCACACCTCTCAATTTCTCATCTATGAAATGGAAATAAAAATAACTACTTTGTAGCACTGCTGTGAAGATTAAATTAAATAAGTACCTGACACAGTGATAGCAAAAACTTCTTACTTGGCTCTTCCTAGTCCTACAAAAATAGATTTCCCATTTTTTTATTTGTTGACTACATTGCCACCAGAATTATCTGTTTGACATTCAAGTCTGTTATGGTCTTGCCCCTGCTTAAATCATGTCAATGAATCTATTGTTTTTGGACTAAAATCCAACCTCCCCATTTTAAGTATGATCTCATCCCTGTCCAACTCTACAGCTTTCACCAATCTCCCATCTCAATTTATGTTCCAATGACATTAAATTCCTTATAGCTTCCCTTAAGACATCATAATGTTTCAAGTTTTCTTTGACTTTGCAATGTTGCCCCTTCTGCCTGGAATGTCCTTTTCCTCTCTTGTTCCCTCAGTAAACTATTCATCTTTGAAACTCAGCTCATGTGTGGCCTTCTTCGGGTCCTTATTCATCACTCGCTTCTCTGTGCTACCTCTCTATAATCTAATCACTTCTGTTGTCACACTTACCTCATTGTATTGCATTTATGTATTTACATGCTGGCTTTCAATATTACATGAACTCCTTGAAGGAAGGGATGTGTTTTATTTAATTCTATAACCCTCTTGCCCAGGACAGTACCTCATACTGGGTAGGTACTTATCAAATGATTGAATGAAGGAATTTGCCTGCCTGGAGTGATAATAATCAAGTTGTACAACAGATAGAAGTGGGTAAGATCATCCCCATATAGTTTGCATCTTCATGGAGCAGACATCATCTGTTCTAAGTGATGTCTGTGTTTCTGGAATTATTGAAAGGAGTGGCATTGGAACCTAAAGTTAGTGGAAAATACAATACACTAAACTCATACCTGAGATTCTTCATGCCTTGTTGTTTTTGAACACATGCGTGTGTGCGCATGCATGCACACACACACAACATCTCCTGTCGCTTTGTCTACAGAATCATAACACCATAGGCTATTCCAGCCTTGAGAATTGTATGCAGCTTGGCTGACTGAACTCAAATGTTTAATTTTCAATTTTTCCTTCTACCTGAGGTCTTGGTTCTTGGATATACAGAAAGCTATATTGATGAATAACAGAATCTATACTTAGTTTTCCACTGGGGTCCTCTCATGTGGCGTGGTAATACAGGTTTAGAGGCAAACAGGAGAGGGAAGGCAGATGACTCCTATCATCAGGGAAGCTGATGACTGTGGCTCTGACCAGGAGCCTAGGACCCCCTGGATATGTTTCCTCTTTAGAGCCATGTCTGACTATGAGGCCCTAGTGTATGTTTTCTAAATATAAAATGGGGAGAATTTTGTAATTCTAGATAGCACCTAACCATAAGGATTCAAAATAAGAGACAGGTTCCAGATCTAAGAGGAAGAAAGGGATTTTAAGCAGAAATTGGAGTCTAAAAGTCCCACCTGAGGAACCTCCAGTTACAGAAAAACCCTTCATCTTCTTCATCTTCTGCAGAAGTGTGAGGCAGTCTCTAAGTTTCAGAAAACTGGAAGAAATATCTAATTAGGCCTGCCAAACCAAACTCTATAAAAATTAGGAACAGGACACTAAAATAAACCCAGGAAATGGCTATCATTAGAAAGCAGAGTTTACCTTTTACTCTCTGAAGAAGTGATTGTTGTATATGGTTAAAATAATTTAATTAATGAGGGATCATTTTTATGGAATCTGGAAGGCTGCCAAGGCATGTCCTCCATTTATAGAACAATGTTCTATAGTAGAGTTCTACATGTAAAGATGTCAGGACCTCTAGCTGGTGCCACTGATAAGATTTCCAGTGGCTATTCCAGGGTCACTTTGGAGCTTCCTCAGGTGGAAAGGTCCATCAGAAGAAGACCTGGTCATGCTGATTATCCAGTTTTGTCTCTACCTGGGACAGAGGCAGTCCTGGAGAGTGGCTAAGAGCACAGACTCTTGAGGTTTTAATCCTATCTCCACCCTCATAAACTGTGTTATCTTGGGGAGGTTGCTTAACCTGTCTGTGTCTCAGTTTCTTATTCTGTAAGATGGGACCCAAACTTGCCACAGACTGGGAGAAAATATTTGCAAATCATATATCTGACAAAGGGTTTTCAGAATATAAAAATAATTCTCAAAACTCAACAATAAGGAAACAAACAATCTGGTTTTTTAAGGGTAAAAGATTTGAACAGACACTTCACCAAAGGAGATATAGAGATGGCAAGTAAGCACACGAAAAGATGTTTACTATTATTAATCATTAGGAAAATGTGAATTAAAACCACAATGAGATATCCTTACATATCTATGTGATTGGATAAAAACAAAAACAAACAACAAACAAACAAAAACAACAAGAATGAAAAATAGATGACACCAAGTGTGAATGAGGATGGGGAAATGACTGGAATTCTCATACATTGTTGGTAAAAATGCACCATGCAGCCAGCCTGGAAGACAATTTAATAGTTTCTTATAATATGACTCAGAAATCCCACTCCTGGGCGCCTGGGTGGCTCAGTCGTTAAGCGTCTGCCTTCGGCTCAGGTCATGATCCCAGGGTCCTGGGATTGAGCCCCACATCGGGCTCCCTGCTCAGCGGGAAGCCTGCTTCTCCCTCTCCCACTCCCCCTGCTTGTGTTCCTGCTCTCGCTCGCTCTCTGTCAAATAAATAAATAAAATCTTAAAAAAAAAAAAAAGAAATCCCACTCCTAGGTATTTACCTAAGAGAAATGAAAACTTATGCTCAGATAAAAACCTGCATGAGAGTGTTTATAGGAGCTTTGTTTATAATCACCCAACCACAGAAATAACCCAAATATATTCAATGGTGAATAGGTAAACTGAGGTACAATTATATCATAGATTACTGCTCAGCAGATAAAAAGGAGCAACAACACGGATGAATTTAAAAGCACTGTGTTGAGTAAAAGAAGTCAGATACAAAGATTATATATTGTATGATTCCATTTATGTGAAACTCTAGAAGAAGCAAAAACTATTGTGACAGAACAAAGGTCAGTGATTTCCAGGGGAGGGAGAAGTGGGGGAAGACCCACTGGAAAGGGGCATGAAAAAACACAGAGAGGATCCTATGTACCCTTCAGCCAGTTTCCCCACAATGGTTGCATCTTACAAAACTATAATATCAAAACCAAGAAATTGACATTGGTGTAGAGTATGTCTATAGTTCCATTTCATTGTATCACAGGTGTAGATTCATGTAACCACCACAGCAATCAGGATACAGAACTATTCCAATACTCCCACATAACTATACACTTAAAATTGGTGATCATATGTTAATTATACCTCAATCAAGCTGGCAAAACACCAAACACCAAGAAACCCCTCAAACTCTGTCAAGGTAACAGTAAGCAGTATGTAACTATTAGCTTTCACTGTTGCTGTTTTCTCAAGGAGCATCTCTCTTCTGTACCAGAAGACTAAGGTTCTCAAAACAAAGGCCAATCCAAGCAATAAGCTAGGGGCACAAGGGCACTCTCTTTTTTATTTGCACGACTCCCTGACTGTTGCTATACTGGGTAAATTAGACAAACCATTAGTCCACCAGCAGCTGGACCTAGCACTACTCTAGCACTGTTGGAATTCCCCAAATTGCCTCCTGCACATCGTGTGGACTCGCATTTGCTCCTGTCTTCTCTCTCATGGTGACTATCCTTCTGTTACTTGAATATGCCAAGCACATCCTACTTCAGGGTCTGGCCACTTGCTGTTCCCTCTGTCTAGAATGTTTTCTTCATAGTTATTCAGTAGCCAGCTCATATGTCATTATTCAGCAAGAGCTTCCTGAGCCTTGTAGACCAAAACTGCCCCCTTCTGCCACTTTCAGCTTCTCTCATGTGACTCCATCTTACTTCTCTTATAGCACTTCCCACTAGAAGAAATTACCTTGGCCCTTTATTTGCTCACTTGTTTATTGTCCATTCTGATCCCCCTAGCATGAAGCTACATACATGCATGGGCATCATCTCTTTTGTCTCCTGCTGGATCTTCACTATTGCCAGTGACTGTGACCATGCCCCCCAGCAGAATTTCCTGCCCACCCTACTTCTCATTGGCCCTCTCTTCTTTTTCCTTTAACTCTCTTTCTGTGCTCTCCCCATTGCAACACATATCTATTGAGATAAAAATGAAGTACGCAGAAGCGGCCTGAGGTGACCTCTTGAAAATGGTTCGCGATTCGCTTGTCCCAGAAAACCCTACAAAATCATGTAAATCAAGAGGTTCAAATCTTCATGTTCACTTTAAGAACACACGTGGAACTGCCCAGGCCATCAAGGGTATGCATATCAGAAAAGCCACCAAGTATCTGAAAGATGTCACTTTACAGAAGCAGTGTGTCCCATTCCGTCCCTACAATGGTGGAGTTGGTAGGTGTGCCCAGGCCAAACAAACAGTGGGGCTGGACACAGGGTCGGTGGCCCAAGAAGAGTGCTGAATTTTTACTGCAAATGCTTAAAAATGCAGAGTAATGCTGAACTTAAGGGTTTAGATGTTGATTCTCTGGTCATTGAGCACATCCAGGTGAACAAAGCCCCAAGATGCGGCGTAGAACGTACAGGGCTCATGGTCGAATTAACCCATACATGAGCTCTCCCTGCCACACTGAGATGATCCTTACTGAAAAAGAGCAGATTGTTCCTAAACCAGAAGAGGAGGTTGCACAGAAGGAAAAGATATCCCAGAGGAAACTGAAGAAACAAAAACCTATGGCCCAGGAGTAAATTCTGCAGAATAAATGCAAAAAAAAAAAAAAAAATGAAGTACACAGTCACACTGGAGGAATCACAGACAAATCCAGAGACTTCAGCTTACTCCGTCCCAGGCTTTGTTGCAGTGACTCTCCCTTTCCCGACCCTTTTCCTTGGCTCTCTGCCTGTCCTTAAGGGGTGCCTGCAGGAGGAATGCCCAGCAAGGAGGACTCTCACTAAATTTTCTCTAAGCCGTTTATTCTCGGACTGCATTTAAGCTAATAGGAAAGGCTTCATGGGAAATCTGGAGGCTTCTTGCCATGCTCATGCTTGCCCTTTGCCTCACTTCAATCTAGTTAGCCCTGTTGTTATTTTTTCTGTGGAATGGCATATATCCGTATCATTAATTCTACATATTTCTAGGGGAAAAGGGGATTGGGAGGAAGGAAAGACTGATTATTTATCAAGTAAAAGACATTTCTTCTCTCTCTGGACAGCCAGCTGGATTTTCTGAACTCATTTCTGCCCTGAAATGGGGCAGCCACTTCTGAAATGACTCCTCTGTATAGGGGTGGGCTCTGTTTTTATGGCCAGTGGGTAATAGCATTTCCTGATTTATGAACTGGCATCTGGGGTAGGGCTGGATGGATTCATCATGGGGAGAACAGCCATATGAATAATCCTGTCACATAAAATTATTGTTCTCATTTTGATTTTTAAAAAACGTCCCTTTGTGCAGTGGGGTTTAGGAGATTTTAGCGGGAAAGCTGGAGAAGGATGAGTTATTTGGCTCCCTTTCTCTATATAAGGTAAAAATGCACCAGTAGTCTCCAGAAACAGTGACTTGCTTAGAAGACAATTACCAAAATGGTTTAATTGTTTGGGGGGACCCTTGGCACTTGGCTTAAAGTCAAAGCCAAGGTCTTCACCTGAGGAAAGATGTAGATGACCAACAAAGTAAATAGCTGCAGAACATGCTAAAAGAGTTTTCTTTCTTCCTTTTTTAAGATTTTGTTTTGAAGTAATCTCTACAACCAACATGGGGCTCAAACTCATAACCCCGAGATCAAGAGTTGCATGCTCTGCTGACTGAGCCAGCCAGGCGCCTCAAAAGAGTGATTTTCTATGCAGAAATATTTCTGTGGTACTCAGAACATACAATCTATTATAGAAGCATATTTTAAAGAATGGGTCCCTCACATAAATGGAATTTCTAAATCTTCTCCAGTATGCAAGATGTTGTATAGACACCATCTCTTTCCATAGTACGAGGCTCCAGAGGACAGAGAGAGACAGAAAGAGAGAGAGAGAGAGAGAGAGAGAAACAGGAGTTTCTTTCCTCAACTCACTAGCCTAGACAGGAGCAGTACCAGGAATCTGGGAGTGATAGCCAAGGGCCTAGGAGGCAGGAGTCTTCTGGTGGGTGTGTCCTTGGGGAGGGGGCCAGCTGAGGCTGTTGAGCTATCTCTAACTACTGTCTAACCATAGGGATTTCTGTTCATTCCTCTAATTTTTTTCTTTGTTTTCATGGCAGAATAAACTCCAAATTCCAGGGGTCAACTAAGCGCCTGCCACCAGCCCACATGAGGCCAAAAAAAAGCTTAGTGTCATCAGTCAATGCCAGCTAGTTAATAATGACCAGCCTCTTTGCTAATGGCCCGAGGAAGGGGTCCTTGGGCAGCAAAGGCTGTAGCAGAGAGACTTGCAGGCAGCTGCATGGGGAGAATGCTTTGCAAGAAGCATTTCTGCTGGCCACTTTCAAGGGCATATCCACCCATGCCCAGCTCTTTAGGAAGGTAGTAATTAGTTTTATTCCCTTCAGTGCACATGGCAAAGGCAGCAGGATCTGGCATTTAGAGAACCATTGGAGTCTGCCCCTCTCATCTTGTCTTGACTCAGGTTTACATTTATAACTAAGAAATATCAGGACTGTAAGGTGGTTTAGGGGTTGTGTTCAGTTCCCACAGACAGAAAAGAAACTTCCAGAGTCAAGGCTTTAGACAAGGAGAGACCACTGCCAAGAAAGGCTAATAATGACTCAGTTGGCCCTGTACCACCCAGTGTCTCTTGCAAACTGCAGGTGGTGAACACAATCACTAAATAGTAAGCTCCTCGAGGGCATAGATGTCTTGTGCATCTTTGTATGTTCCCAGAATGGGGGCTATCCACAGAGCTGCAGGAACAAAGATTTCTAGGCCTACACAGTACATTACGGTCATCTGGACAGTGCTTCCCCACCGGTGTGTGGCGGCATGCTCTGATGCTGTGGATAGGCCATAGGTGTGCTCCCATGTTGGTCTTTTTAGCCCTTGGAGCAGCCAGGAAATTCCTGGGGAGGACAGCACTCCTGGTCCCCTCTGGTTGTGAGGGGACCTCTATCACCCCAGTGAGCTATAGAAATACATTCATTTCCAAGTGAATCTTAATGAAATAAGAGGTTAGAATGTATTGATGGCCCACAAATGGGAGAACTAAGACTCAGAAGTCCAGACCTTGTGAGTCAAGAACTTGATTCCAGGTAGCCTTACTCTGTGTCCAATGCTTTATCCACTACCCCACAGCTGCCACACTAAACTGTCAACAAATAACTGTGGAAGCCAAATTGTTGAAATTGAGAAATCACTTGAATAAAAACCAGCAGAAGGCCAGATGATGTCATTAGCACGGCTTGAAAGGTGAGTTGGATGCCCAAACTTATGAAAACTTATTGCCAGTACATGCAAGAGGTTGTTCCTAAGACCAATGGCTTTCCCTTTGACCATGACTCATGGCAAGAGATGCTTTACATTGCAACCCAGGACACATACACATGCACATATATAGTTTCACAAATAGTACTTATCCTTACTGTGCTTGATGGACACCGTTCTGTTCAATTTTATTCTATTCCATTAAAAAAAATTCTGGTCATGACCCTTTAAATTGATTTCGTGACCCACTAAATTGATTTCTCGACCCACTAATGTGTCATGACCGGCAGTTTGAAAAACACAGGCCTGACCCCATTCCAGCTTTCTCTCCCTCCTCAGAGACCAGGAAAATGGAAGGTGAATGTGGAGAAGAGTAAGACAAGAGACAGATAAAAAATAAGGAGGAAGGTGAGAGGAATACCAAAAAAAAAAAAAAAAAAAAAAAAAAAAAAAAAAGGAGAAAGAGAGAATGGGACAAAGGAAGAATGAATGGAAAATGGGAGACATAATGAGCAAAGGCTAACTCCAGACTGACAGATTTATGCCTATTAAAACAGTTCTCAAGATCCACAGTCATTTTGGCCTTACTTATTACAAAAATATTCCCTGCCAGCTTGTAGGGATCAGGGCCATAGCCATGATCATGCTATCTGCTTGTCTAGAGATTGTCTTAACTGTCAGCACCACCTCAAATTCTTCACAGTTCCTCCCAGAGAGAATGTTCTGTCTGCTGCTCAGGGATCTGGGCTTTTGAAAAATCTCAGAGACGTTGGGTAAATTACTCAAAGATAAAGAAACTGACCATACTGTCTCCACACACACGGATGAACCAATGCACAATGGGCGCTATGGACTTCTGGGCTGGGTCTTAACAACAGACTCTTGGGTACAGAGGAGATAGTTGTAAAGGTGATAGGAAAGTGAAGATTGGAGATTGAATGAGATTAACTTATGAAGCTTCTGTAAATTTACATACTCTGATAGCCAGTGGGTGTCTAAAGAGTATTGATGATTGTACACCTCGTAGTAAAAACTTTTTGAGCATGCACCTAAAATACACATATTTGTTTATAAAGACTATATATGCTCTACTTATTAATATCATTGCATTATCAACTACACACAAAGTTAGGAAATAAAGACATGAGATAAAGATAAAATCACATTTTAATGTTTATTTTATTTTATTCATGAATCATACAAAACATTTTACAACCTCCAAGAAAATTATTATTAAAAATGGTGGGACTGATATGTTAGAATTGGCTTCGTCTCTGTTGAGCACTTAGTGATATGGGGTTCTGAGGTCAAGGGTTCAATTTATTCACTTTCATGGCTGTCAGGATGGAAAAAGACACCTCACATAGACACAGAAATGCCGAAAGAGCATTGTTGGCTCTACTGACTAAATCAAGATACTTCTCTTTGGTTTCATGCACAAATTATGTGAAGATTGTTGTTGAAATTCAGCTGGTAGATTTCCATCTTCTCTGATGTCAATCAGCTATTTTTTCAACTAATCGGAAGGTGCTGAATTTTTATATATTTCTTAAAAACGGGTCAGAACTCTCTGAAACTCTTCCTTTGGAAGATTTTTCGGCAAGTAGAAGATTCTGTTTCCAAGTTTTAAAAGTTTTTAGATAGAAATTTTTAAAGTGTCATACCTACTCATTATCAACAACAAAATCACGTAAAGATGAAAATATTTCCAAACTTTTTTTTTTCTTTCAAAATGGTCTTCCCGTGCTATAAATTCTTCCTAAAAGTGGTTACTTTCTAACTCTTTGTTAATGTATTACCTTTATACTGAGGGGGCAGATGCAGTGTTTAATTTTTTAAAGTTATCAGCAAAGTGACATACTTCTGACAGCTGCTTGCCAAACCTGAAAAAATCAGCAAATGTGGAACATTTTGGTTCTTTTAAAAGAAAAATGTTTAATTATGTTTCCATAACTAGCAAACCTCTGGGTTGTACAAAAAGTGTTCATGGTTACTCCCATCTCAAATTGTAAAGATTCTATTTCCAGGATTGCTTTTACAATATTGATATCTGTTGCACATAAACTGCAAACTTGTTATAATATATTGAAACTGAATCTGCCAGTAAGAACACCGGTATCACCACTGGGAGATATGGAGATCCCATGTACCTCCATGTCTTTCTGACACATGGATGCTTGACATACAGACCAAGGCAGGGAAACAGTATCTAGTATCGACTGTACATTAAATATGAGCAAAGCCTAATTTCTTGTTTTAATTTAAAAAAAAAAAAGAAGTTCTAAAGGTGTCTTCTGTTGTCCCATCGGATCATTCTTTGTACTTCTTAGCATCAAAGTGCACTTTAATACCACTACACTAGACAAGCAA